ATTCAGAGAAACACATGAATGTTGCTTGGCAACATGTCTCCTTATTCTTTGTTCCTATTCTGATTATATGAGATGGGTCCCAGTCAGTTCAAAGCAAGGTCTTAGTCACAAATGAACATTACCAAGACTTCACCTTAGGCACACCCTTGAACAATTACTACTGAAAAGTCATAAAGATGAATCTAAACACTGAATATCTAATCAACAACCACCCCCCAGACAAAAATAGTAGTAAATAGTACTGACAGCAGTGACATGTAAAGACAGGCAAGTATGTGCCTGCCTACGTACTGCAAAATATAACCACTTAGGTAGAAAAAGACCCTTAAAATCAAAGTTCAATTAAACACTGCCAAATCCACTATGAAACCCTATCCCTAAGCACTACATCTGCACATCTTTTAATTACGTCCAGGGATAGTGACTTCTCTGCTTCCCAGGGCAGCCTGTTACAATGCTTCATAACCCTCTCCATGGCATAATTTTTTCTAAACCTTCCTGGTACAGCTTGAAATAATTTTCTCTGGTCCTTCACTTGTTACTTAAGAGACAAAACTGACCCCCAGCTCACTAAAATCTCCTGACTGGTAGTTGTATACAATGGTAAGGTTCCCCTGAGCCTCCTTTTTTCCAGGTTAAACATCCCCAGTTTCCTCAGCCACTCCTCATATAACTTGTGCTCCAGACCCTTCATTAGCCTTGTTGCCTTTCTCTGGCCATGCTCCAGCACCTCAATGTCTTGGAGTGAAGGGCCAAGAACTGGATACAGCATTCAAGGTGCAGTCTCCCCAGTGCTGAGTACAAGGGAACAATCACTGCCTTGGTCCTGCTGGCCACATTATTTCTCCTATAAGACAGGATGCCCTTGGCCTTCTTGGCTACCTGGGCACACTAATACCTCTGTATTAGTTGGTGGACCTCAAGATGCAGTGAGGTATCATTTATGAAATTTAATATACAGATACCCTGGAGTTGCAATACAAGGACTGTCACAATTATAATGGTAGGTTTTATACCCCTACAGATACCCATTTGTCAAGATAAGTAAGAAGGCCAGCTCAGAGAATTTGTACGAATGATAATTTGAAAATAATTATTTCCAGCTATGGATATTCATTGGTGCATAAACAAATCTCCACTTTCATTTTAACCATGCCAAATGCACAAGATCATGAGGTTTTATATACACAGAAGAAACATAAAAAGGTATATTCTTCACTTATGCCAAGAAAAATATGCCTTGTGCTGGCTTTCTAGATTTTACTGGATGAGAGACAAAAAGCACTGAACGTTCCTGTAGCTTTAATACTAATACAATGATCTGAATGAGAAAGAGGCAAAATAGACTAGTGACATTCTAAGGAACAGATACAAGAAACAATATATTCACCTTTAAATTTTGAATGTAATTATATACATTGCCTTTCAGATGGTAGGCATATAAATTAAATTATTAACCTACAAACTATTTAGGTCTACTGTCTATTTTTAAATTATGACTGTAGGCAAAATCAGTAATGCCAAATATTCTTAAAGGCCAGGATGCATCTATGTTTTCCCAGTGTGTTCTGGAAAGATGAACTGTTAACTACTGTATAGTATGAACTGCAAAGAAAATACAAATTTTAAATTCACCCCATATATTAAGATAAAATAATTTTTCTGGTTTTAATGATGGGGCACATTTGTCTTTCCATATAGAAATACTTCATGATCAATATCGATAATGACAATGGCAAAAAAAAAAAAAGGAAAAACAAGACCCTAACTAGAAAATCTTTTGCTGTTAAGACCTACTACCTTCCATTTTAATCATCAGTAAAAGACGGTAGCTGTAAAACTTTAGTAAAGTTTTTGTCTTAAAGAAAATCAAAAGCACCAGCATTTAACACCATATTACAATAGTATTGTTTTACCATGATATAGCACTACCTTATGGTTTCACAGTCCCACTGCAAGTTAAATTGATCTAAATTGATATTGTCTCAATCCTCTCCTTGAATGCATGGCAGCCCCCCTCCCATGGTCTACTTTAGAACTCACATGACTAGGCAGTCAGCCAAGTTCACAATCTGAGCTGGCCATCATAGCCTACCACGGGTGGGTTTACATGTCATGATTTCTTTTCAGAAAGGCAAGATTATAAAGTTTTTGCTGCAAGCAGACTAAGAACAGACCTAGTAGTCCTTTTATTACCAAACAAACTATATAAGCAGTACAGTACTTAAAAGGATGTCAATAATCAGGTTCTTGATTCAGAAAATGAGGACAGTACCTCAGAATGTTTCATGGAATCAAATTTTATGTGGTTTTGAATTTTATAGCAAACTCCAGTGTCTTAATGAATTATTTCAGTTGCTAAGATCAAGTCTTCATGTTTGGGGCTTTGAACTTTCAGAACATAGTCTAAGATGAAGTCTTCTAGTTACTAAATCTATTAAGGCAGTGCCTACTGCCTGCTCTGCTGATACAATTCTTGGAGGAACAAGAGGAAACAGTGTGAGTAAAGCAATTACAGTATTCTTATTGTTTTATCTATCGTTTCACATTAAATAATGCCACTCTTTGTGCTGAAATGCAGTAGTTTTTCATTAACTCCTAAGGCAAAGGTAGTCCTTCTATCTTGAAGTACATATTTCATTCAGAATGAGGAAGTATTTCCAAGATATAATGTAAGTAATGTGAATACTCATATTGCCAACATTTATGCAGTTTTCCAGAAATGAGAAAATGCATTCCAGTTCCAGTTCAATGGGATTACTTGCATGCTGAGAGCTAAGCCTTTTCAGGTTGAATTGGATAAGTGACAAGACACTTAAAACCCTAAAAATATTTAGCAGTATATTTCAGTTCTTATTTTCCACTCATAAAACAGCAGTAAGTTTACTTTGGTGGCTTTGTTGATGCTAAAAAAAAAAAAAGCCTCAAAGAAAATAAAATCAAAACAGGCCAGGATTTCAAAGGTTCTTCTGGGAGCTAGATGTCTAAGTTTCATTAAAATTTAATGCGATTTATATGCTTAAAGTTTTTTGGTTTCTTTAAAATCCAAGCCAGAAATAAGTAACCTTAAAAGTCTCAGAATTATTACGAGAGTAAAGTATAATGCTTGATTCACTCAAAATGCCAGCAACCTGACAATTTCCCATAAAAAAAGTTGCTTGACCAGACACAACTACCAGTAAAATTTATTTAAAAATACAGATTCAAAGCTATCTGTATAATGGCAGTAAGGATAAAATTTAGAAGTCTCATTTCTTTCCTTTATAGGCAATCAAATAAGGCTAAAAATGGTTCTATTTCAAACACTAAGAGGCTGTGGGTCAAGAAATGACCCACCAGCATACTGATAAATTCTAATGCAGATTACATAGCAAAGAGTGGTAGTCATTTGTTTTCCTATCCTTCACAATTTTTTTACTACTTTACTGAAAAATAACAGTTATGGAAAAGAAGTGACTGAAGGCTATATATTCATACACATTATTTGTTTGACAAATCATATATATGTCAGGATCAGATGACTTCCAACTGTTCTGTGATTCCAAGCCGTTGCTGAAACGCTTCAAGGAGAAGGGATACGAGCTGGGATATGTATTCTGTGGGGGAAATGGAGGCAGGGAAGGGAAAGTGCATAGAAATTAACTGAAGTGTAAAGAAAAGAATTTAAAATTAAGATCTGAATTTATATTTTTACATCTGCATTTATAAAAGCTCAACATAGAAAAAACATCTTTAGACATTTTTGTTTCAAGATTACCTTCTGCATATATATATACGGAATAGACATATTCAGAGATATTAAATTCCCATTAAAGATGTAGTGGTTTATTGAATGCTATTACCCCAAAGCCAGCAATAAGTGTAAAACCCTAGTTTTACAGGACAGATAGGAAAGCACAAGAAAGAAATGACAAGTTTCTTAGAAAAGAAATGGTATTCTTTCACTCATACAGTATATATTAAATACTAGATCTTAAAAACAGTTCATATATAGGTTCTCTTCAATAGTAATTATACAATGCTTATTTTATTTACCTAGAAGTCCACTTGTGTAAGTAAAAAGACAAATACTGCACTGTAAGGAACAGTATTTGAATGTACAACATCTACAGATGCAGGAATAATGTTTTCTTCTTAAAAAAAACATCAGGAATTACATTACCTATAATCACAACAAGACCTCATGAAAAAGATATCACAAATGTTCAATTTCATCTTATTGTAAAGTTCTGTAAAAAACAGCTTCTATTTAAAAGTAATGTCTTTACCACTTCACACAATGAAATGGCATCTTAAGGATCAATTGTTTTGAAAGGAATTCCAAACTGAGTCTGTACTACAAGAGAAAAAACAACTTCCGGTATGGATATTTTTTGGTAATACATGAACTTTCATACCTTCACACCCCTAGAAGTAGAAAAATTCAAAAAATTGTAGGTATAAGGACAGAAATCTAGAAACAACTACAATGCAAAATATGTTAGCATGCTTTTTCTTAACAGATGGTTCAACTGATGTCACGGTAAAACTTTTGACTTTAGAGCTTATTGTACTATATTCTGAATCAATACAAGTAGTGACTTTTGGTTCAAGAAAGAATTTATCACATAAAGATCACAAATAAATTATACCAACGCAAAGTCTGACCCATATTAATCTGAAGTTTCTTCAAAAATTGAAAAACTAGGATTACTATAACCAAGTTTTTTTTCACAATACCATTTAACATGTCTGCTGTAATTAATCTGTATTTTTCACTCTCTGAAGCTTAAGAACTCTTCTAAAGCAACAAAAAAATCAGGAAATGGGTCCCATCATTTCACCTACACATCCTACTCTACATTAAACTGAAGAGATCCATAATATTAAATTCTGACCCAACTTTAATTTATGTTTATGTAATCTCTTTTTATTATACAGAATTTGATCAAACCAGAAGACGGGACAGTTGCAAAAAAGAAAACAACAAAAAAATTTCTAATACTTAAGAACTTACTTACTATTGACATCAACGTTAGTACATAGTGCTGTAAATTCTGCCCATGGTGACGAACCATTTTGGTGTCAGCTGTGACCATCACTTCTACATATCTTGGATAGGAAAGAAAACGTTTTTTCCTGGAATGTGGATTGCCACCATTCTCTTTGGAGAGGTTATTTAAAGCATACTCTAAACTGAGAGACCTCTGTAAAATGCTGCTCTCTTCATTTAAACTGCTGAAGGTTGGATGTAATAAAGTGCTCTTCTTCAACTCTTTCTCTGTAAAGCAAAAAAAATATTTACTTTTGAATGCAGTTGCTAAATAGTAAAAAGGCTGCCCAAAATGGAAAACCTCATATTTATGATCTTATTTCCAAGTGAAACTGTGTAAAAATTAAAAAAAAAAAAAAAACAACAAAAACACAGAAGACTGAAATAGGAACATCAAATGAGATGTCTTGTATATTTTTATATAGTTCTATCATAAATGGATTATTTGTTACAAATTAGTTAAGAAACAGCAGTATTACACAGTTCCTAGAAAGCAGTATAATCCAAACAGGAAGCCTGGAAGGAGATAAGCACTACAGTACAGTAGTAATCAGTAATTAATCAGTTAAATTAATCAGTACAACAAAGGACACAAGTCAGTTAAACAAAACAGATTTTTATACAGAAACTTTTTGGCACCAGCAGAACAAATAAAAACAAGATACATCCAACTCCTAAATTCAAGTCCCTACTGACTTTCAAATTTACATAACATTATATTTAAATAAATATGGAGTTTAACTTCATAAGCAAGTACACATCAAAAACCTCAAGTGACCTCTCTGAGTTTTGTAAACATTCTTTATGTAGAATCAGAATCTAAAGGAAATACACAATCTACTCAGATATCTCCAAACTTCTTCTAATTACACTGTATAGTCCAGCCACCAGAGGCTTCTGATGACTCATAGAGAAAAACCATTGCCTTTACTAGAGTCATCTTAGCTCACATAAAAAATATTTAATGGAGAAGCATATCAGAATTCTCACTACTCTCTAGAACTTATGCAGCTAATTGGACACTCCAGATCCTTCAGAAGAAACCTCCACTGTCTTTCTGGAAACTAGATTTCCCTCTTGAAAATGAGCAGCCAAAGGATATGTCTCCTAATCATTTTATTCTAATGACTTAGTGACTACAGCACTGACCCAAGAGTTCAGAGATCACACTTCTGTCACTCTCAGCTTAAAATCTACACATTCCATTATTCAAGGGAAGAGCCACCATGTGTAAACTTCAAGCTACTTCTGACAGATCCGTAGTCTATCTTCCTTAAAGCTAGGGTAAAATATGACCAGAAAGAAAAACAGTAGAGACAACAGCAAGCACTTTACTGAGTAATTGTTTAAAAATCAATCACAAAATAAAGCTATACTAATTGTAAAATCATTAGCACTAACAATAACAAGGGGAGAAAGCAAGGACTGGCTCTGAAAAGGAACTAGTTCAAGTGTATATACACTCTATGTGTTCAGACTGACTGAGTTGGATGCACTGAAGGGAATTGGCTGTAGCAATTTCATATACACAATCTTTACTAGGTCACAGAAGGTGTCTGAGATTCTAGAGTACTGGCCAAATGGGAAATAACACTTATATTTAAAGGGAGAGTTTAAAGATTATCTAAATGTATGAACCAAACAGATCAAGAACAAATCAAATTAATTCTGTTTACAAACACCAGAAATCAGTAAGTGGATAAGTAATAGCTATCAGATTTATCCAAAACATATCCTGGCAAACTCTGATGAGCTCCCAGTATTAAGGAAACAGAACTTATGGACTGAGGAAATGCAATAAATATTCTATCCTGACCTGAGTAAGGCGTATATCAGAGTTACACAAATTATTTTCATTGGCAAATTAGTTTTAGAAGAAAACAGTACAAAGTGGTGAAAAGATTTGGTAGACAATTTTAGAATTATCATGGCCCAATTTCAAACTAAAAATATGTATTGAATGCTATGTTCCTCCATATCCTCTGTCAAGGCTCCCTTACTAGAGAAACACTCATGATTCCAAGTAGTGATATAAGTTGTTCCTCTGTGAAGAAAGGATATGAATAACCAAGTAAGACTAGCATTAAAGGAGACATCTCTTCTTTAGAAGGACAGAAACATGAAAAACCAAAGCTTTTCTTCATAAACATTTCTACATCTTCACTCTCCCCAAAATGTCAGTAAGCCTTTTGTAATTGTTCCAAAGAATGAAAATGGAGAAAATTACTCTTCTTAACGCTTGAAGCCTTTTGTCACACTAACTTGTTTAGATTAAAGAAAAAAAAGACACAAAACAAACTGAAAGACCTCTAATTTGGTTCAGTACATACTATTTATCATTTTAAAAACGGCATAGGAATAAGAAGGTTTGCTTGACATAATAGTTATTTTCTGGCCCTAGCAACTATGGAAAAGCAGAATTCTCAAAATAATGTTTCCAAGTATAAAAGATATAAGAATTTTCCAAAATTAATATCAGTCATCCAAGCTTTTTTTACATCTTTATATTTTTAACCATCTACATAGATATTCCTCAAGAAGAGTTCCAGAGAAAGTTCCCTGTTCAGTCTAGGAACTGATCAGGGAGCTCATCTTCCCTGCTGGTTCACCTTTCAGCAGACAGGGATAGAAATTTTACAGGTGCAGGGGAAGGCTTTCTTAAATTATATCCAGCCTTCCAGGACCCCTTTGTTATTATTGTTTCCCAAGGGACACTTTGAACCAGTGCCCTGAATAGGCCAAAGTCCAAGGCAGAGGTTCTGTTGACCCTCTTCCTTTCACCTTAAATAAAATGAAATATTATGTAGTGTGAATAAATTTTTAAAATACTCATAAGGACAAATATTTACAATAATGGGTAAGATTAGATTATAATAAATGAATGGGTAATATTGGATACTTCCATTATTAAGGATGACAGATGTCATGCATTATGTGCTAGACTTGCAGAAAGTTCATTATCTTTTGTGAATATAAGCTACAACTCCTGGATCTTCTTTTTCAGTGTTTACATATGGGACAATATAAGTCTAAAAGCAAACCACACCAAAGTTCTTGCAATATCATGGATTTTTTTATATGCATGTTCTGTTCGACTTTTGAATTTGCCACCTTCACAATACAAAATAAACAGCTGACAAGCGTATGTGAAAGAAATGTGTAGGCTCATATGGCACACTGTGGAGTAAAATTATTTACGAAATAAAATCTTGCTTTTTATTCTTTAGAACATCTGATGTTTGAAAAACGCACAATGACATTTAAAATATAACAATACCTGAAACTTCACAAGGTTTATGGGATTTCTGATACTCTCTTTTAAGTTCACCATGCCTGTATATAAGATGTGGTTTGTTATGTTCATCTTCGTGTTCACCTCCATCTGCTTTCATCAGAGGTTCTAAAATGTATTCACCATCATGTGCCTTGAAGGTGCCCATCTGGAAGTAAGAGAAGTAATTGAATTATTTTCCACTGGAAAAACTGATATAAAAATAATTCTGATTGAAATAAAAGCTATTTGTGATAATATTTTGAAGTCAATGATCATACATATGCACATGAGAGGGGGGAAACTCCAGTGAAACCTGGAAGGTAAGGCTACAGAAGTTTGCTTTCTTGTCCCACCAGAATAACTTCAATTACCTTGCGTATTAACAATGTATCAAAGGTAATTACTATAAGAGTTATGAAACAAAGGAGATCACAAAAATAAAGAGAAACTATGTATAACCAAGCAGGACCAGTTGGGAACTGTGCAAAGGAGAGGTCATCAAGAATTTCAGAATTTGACTGCTGTCCAAATTCTGGACTGATTTTTTGCCTTCTGTCCTTAACATAATTTATATAATATCCTTCTAAAATTGCATTTTCCCCAAAGATTAGAAAGAGTTTTAGAATTCTATTATTTCTGAAGATTTTTGACTGGAGCACCAGAAATTCAAAGTTGACACCTTTAAAGTGTTTTTCTCCTTGATTCCCCCAAAACAACCCCCGTCCTTGGCCACCACAGACACACATGGGTAACTACGTAATGGGAACCACAGTAACTTGATTACTAACAAAAGCACTGGCACATACACAAAGAACAAAAATTAAGCTCCTTTCCCCAGCCCCCTGCCCCATAATCCTTTAAATTATGAAATCCTAAAGCAGACTCTCTTCTTTCTCACTGCACTTCTAACCGAATTCACAATTTCCTACGGCTTAAGTACTCCACCTCAGGAGGAAAAAGCATGCAAGAGTTTCATCAAATTCTTTTCAAAATTTTTAGGAACTTCCTTGCTTCAGCCAATTAAACACATCAAGTGAGTAGGTACACTGCATCCTGATAGATGTTTTGCCAGTAAGGCATAAAATTGACCAATAAGATAACAGTAATAATCGACATAATACGGTTTAAGAGATTAAATGTTCATGTCAGCCTTGAAACTCAGGGTTATAGAGAGAGTGGCAGAGCAGGATAAATGAGAACAGAAGCAAGAATAGGGCTTTTTCAAACAACCTATTAAGTATTTTAAAAACTGCTGCAGAACTACTTTAGCATCCAGGGTATTGTACTGGAATTATAATATCCTCTTGAATTTGGGATCCTTCTAAGCAGTTATCAGTTGTCAATCCATAAGAGTCTGTTAGTCTATCACATGCATGAAGCTCATCTGCAATCTTGCCTGATATATTACATTATTAGAGCTATTGTCAACACATTGTGGATGAATCCTCTGCACCAATTTTGTCACAGAATGAAAAAAGACACTGCTAAATAAATTGTTTAACTCACAGAAGCACTTTTCCCCCTCAGTTTAATTTAAATTCTTTGCAAGTAGTCTTCATGCTGGATCCTTTATACATTCAGTTTAGCCTTCTCACATCCAGTGTTTCCAGGGCATGTAATTTGTAGAGGACAGCAGATCGAGCGTACCAAGAACAGCCTGGAAAGGGCTTCAGTCACCAGTTACACTGTCTGTTTACAGTCCTGCAGTCAGGAAAGTGATACTTCACGTGGTGACAGATTCTGCTGATACAAAAGGAGCTAATGCTGCATCTTGGACACAGAAGGAAAAGGGCTGTGAGATCCAAATGAAGAATATTTTTGGTAAAATGAAATAAAGAAAAGGCACTTAGATACATAGGCAAGTTGCTAAAACAGGAGCCTAAGCACTTGCAGGAAATTAAATCAGAAATTAACTGGATTTATTTATCATCTACAGATGCCTCTCAAATCATCTAACAAGAAAGCTGCCTGAAACATTCTATTTCTGTTCTTCAGATAAAGAGATAAAAGTACATTTAAAAGATCTCTTCAGTAGAAGTAGAGTACAAAATTGAAAACAGTCTTTTGCACATCATAAATAAGTGGTCCAAAGAAAGAGCATATGCATAGATTTGAGAAAATTTATGAGAAAGCCCACATGAGAATGATAATTTATTTGTTGGATTAAAAATATTATGGATGATCTAGGCACTTTAGATTAAAGCAAGGTTCAGGGGATCAACGCAGTTTCTCACTATATGGTATGACTTAGTGGTTTAAAGTGACTTAAAACAATATAGTCTTAACTAATATTAACTCCATTGCAAGAGTTACAGAAGTAAATATTGAAAATTATGGTTAAAGAATGTCTGTATACAAATTACATCTTTGTCTATAAAGTTTGCAGAACATATGGAAAACATAAGGGATATATAGCAGATTTCATAAATGAGGAATTAATATGTCCAACAGCACAATTGGAACGGTTTCATGAAAACTCTAAAAGAACAACTGAAGCTCTGGAAAACTTGACTCTAAACTGGCAGACTGCCTCCCAGGTAAGCTCCACTCCTGTGCTCAAGTACTTCTCATGCCCTTAAAGTATGGCTTCTTAACTCACTTAAAAACCTGCAAGTAGTTTACAGCAAGAGCACTTTAACATTCAAAGTAAATCCTTTCCTTTTATATTATTCTCTTCTCTATTCAAATCTCTTGATTCATGTAAGAATCCCTCCCCCCTTTTCTTCCTGCTTCACTGTTACAATATTTTATGATAAAAGACTTAAGAAGCATTGCTTAATTAAAGAAAAAAGTATTACAGTGATCATAGTACACTGCCAACATCTGGAAAAAGTATTTCTGCTAGAAGATAATTTGGCTAGAAACACAGTAAGAGATAGCAGCTCAAGCTAATGTATTAAGATCAGAGCTAATATAATAGAAATAATATAATAGTAATAAATTCATAAATAATAACACAAGCTAAGCAGTAGGAAAGAAATATCTAGCAACATTTTTTTTGGTAGAATATGTTTGTAGAAGTGATTGAAAGCAACATTACTTTTGAAGTTCTTAGAGAATGAAGTGCTAAAAGTTTGTTATAGGCATCTAACTACATCTTACAAATTCTGTGATGTTAAGATTGCATGAGCTGACTATAATCACACCATTAAAATAATTGATGGGGCCTTCACCTATGGTCGGAAGTATCCTCATCTGCAAAAACATCTAAGCATTAGTTAGATATAATTTCTTAATTCCAGATTGAAATTTAAGTTCCATGTAAATGCTCAAAGGGATTTTACTTAATTGTATGTTTAAACTACACCTTATCAATAACCATATGATAACCAGGATTTTCTAAATAAAATTTGCAGCAACAACAGAGGGGCTCAATAGCAGACAACTTGTGAGAATATTAAAAAAACAATCCCAAAGACATCTGGAAAGAGTATTGTCTCATGGAAATTAACAAGATTCACTGGAGTGGAAAGAAGAGAGGGGGGTCATTTATTTATATTTTATATACAATTCACAGTGAACAAGCTAGACTAGTCAACTAAAAATACACATAACTAGGTGTAGAAGAAGAGATTACAGGCAACCTCGTCCCTGTTAAGTCACAGTTGTACTAATTACCAAAGAAGAGGAACAGCTTTACCCTTATATATAAGGATAAGTGTGATAAAAGGGGTGGGTTGGCTGGTCAGTGGGATCTTGGAGGAAGAGGAGCCCTGAGGAAGAAGGAACAATCCAGAGAGACACAAGAAGATCGAAACAAGGAAGAGAGTTGCTGCAGTAAAAGATCTGCTGTGAGGTCAGTCTGGGTCTGATGGAGTCAGAGGCTGCTGTTGGAGCCTGCAGTCACAGCTGAGCTGGGTGAAAGCTGTGTTCAGTCTGCAAACCAATACTTGCAGCCATGGTCCAGCAGGAAATAGCCACAGCCAGAGTCTGCAGCTGGACCCTGCAGTAGGAGCTTGCTGTAGTCAGAGTCAGGATGGCAGAGCTGTAAAGAAGAATCAACCAGGACCCTTTCATGTTGTTGTTGTGTCTTGGCTCATTTCTACCCTTAAGAGTCTACTGCAACACATAACTTTTTTTTAAGAGATATATACATGGAGATTCCATTACAGAAAAGCAGTTACTTTGCGATACCTGCTGAAATTGGCAAAACAGAATGTATACATAAAGGGATTTTCTTGTTTGTTTGGGGAGGGTGTAGGTTGTTGAGTTTTGAGTTTTAGGGGATCTAGTTTTAACACCTAAACAGTCATCAAGCTAAGTGATCTGATAGAACACAGACCTAGGGGATCTGTACACTATGGTGGAGGAAACTCCATCGTATTATGTTGCCTGTCTCAGAAAATATCATGCAAAAAATCAACTTATCCCTATTTAAAAATTACTTCTTAGTTCTGATGTTTTTAAGTAGATACAGAACCACCTTTTTCTCTCACTGGGAGATGAATAGCTCCATACAGTCCTTTTAACCTCATAAGCACCATCACAGGCAGTTATCACTCAAGAGCACACAAGCTATGGTTAGATTTTTATCTTAGTCAGCCACACAGTTAGCTACCTTGAGTACTTCTGTCAATATGTGCATTCCCAAAAGGTGTTAACTGTTCTCGGTGTCTGGCTTTGCTACTTAATCTTGCCATTTTGTACATATCTGAAACAGAGCAAGAATTGAGACTATCGCAGATACACTATCTCATATGGGAAGCCTATCTATTCCCCAAGAGTACAAAGTTTCCTGAGATCCATGACAGCTGACTGTTGACTGCCACCTGAGACTGGGAGGATTAAGTTGACAAAAAAAGAAAACCCCCAAACACATCTATTTGCACACCAGTAATTCAGCTTAGTAACAGGAAAGGGCCACATGTTGTGTACTCTGCCCTCCTCTGACACAGAAACTTTTGTGTATGTTTTTGTGTGTGTGTATATATACACAGATAAAAGTAAATTAAAGTTCCTTTGGCTGCCCATAGCATACTAGCAAATTTACCCGTGTCACATAGGTCTAAACAATAAAAGCAACAGCTGAGAACAAGCTGCAGCCATCAAAACAATTTATTAGGCAAACTGGCAAAGAATGTGCCCAAGTAGCGACCAAGGGAAGGCCACTAGACACAGGATGTGGACAGAAAGCAGGCCAGCAATGGCTGAGCACCCTTGACATAAAATGTTACATAGGTACATCCAGTCGGTTGAAAGGACAATTCCTGCAGAGTTTTACTGATGCACAGGTAGACACATACTCAGGTCCTACTGCTTTTGATAAAACAAGTTTCTGTGACAGACCTTCAGCTGTACAATCTGCAACTCCACGTATCTTCTCAGTTTACTGCAATTACCACCTGTATTTGCTGATCTGTGCTGGCCTACGTGTGAAGGTATAGCATTGGTGGAAACATTTCCAGGAAAAATTTATATGCAAAGAGCCTGAGGAAAACACACTGGAGAAATTTTTAAAACAGCTATAAGGGGGACATTTTATCTAAAACTTGCAAAGTAAAACATTTTACTTAAATCCACTTTGTGCTGACCAGAGACAGAGCATATGCTCAGGGTTATAATGGAAGCACTGAAATGCTTCCTGCTTTGCAGACCCAGAGCCAAAGTCTCACTTATATATGTGTATGACACAAGAAAACAGAACTACTAAGTGGAAGTCTTCACATCATCCAGCCAGTTAGCAGTAAGACTTTGTTTGCTCAAGCAAGAATCAACTGCCTTGAATCGACACTTTAATAGGATTGTTTTCCTAGCTTATGATGGGATTGGTACATTAAGATTAAGATAACTATGAAATGCAGTATGTGCCTGATGGATGCTCTTAGCATTATAAATGTAACCCAAATGCTGAAAAGATCCTGCCTTCCAGATTTAGAAAGTAACTCTTTTGAAGTGACAGCTTAGAAGTTAAAGCATTAAGTTACATCCAGTTAAGCATATTTTCCAGTTACAAGTGTTAAAACTTCTTGGAAAAAAAATGCATTTTCACTCATTGAGGTGGTTAGAACTAAGGAGCACAAAACCACGGAGCAAATATCTGAGCTTGCTACCTGCACTAGATCTCCACAAGAAACTAGATGCTGGCTATGCTAGCAGTATCTTCCAGCAAGTTTTTCGAGTTTGGATTGTTGGGTTTTTTGACCAAAGAATTAAAAATCACAGTTTTTTAAGACAAATTCCAGGACTACTTACTTTTCTTTAAAAGGTGCCACTTTATCCATTCATAGCAGCAGACAGAACTGTTTTCAAAACCTCTCAGAAAGATGATCTTTCTGAGATCACCTGACCCGTATTAATAAAAAATAAACACCACCTCCTGTACTGAGGATTGAGAAGATCCACGCTTAGGTTCATACTCCTGCCATTCATCAGACAAAAATAAGTCTGATGTGCAGCAAGGGAGCATTACCAAAGGGCTTCCTTGAGCTGCTGAAGAAGGAACTTGTTACACTCCAAAGCTGCGTAAGAACAAAGTGGTCCTGCCTTCCTGAACTGCAGGAAGCCGACAGCTGGAAAATCCATGAAGAAGAGATTCATGCGCACTTTCCTACTCCTAACTTCTGTCAGTCAGTGAGCATGTGAAATTGCTCTACACACAGGAGACCAGACGCCCAAAAGAATGTATTTCTTCCTTCTTTCTTACCTTTTCCTCTCTCACAGTCACATAAAACACCTTTGGCACTTAAGTATTTTTCTAGCTCACAAAAACTGATTTTAACCATCCTCAGCATCAGCCAACACCCTCCTAACCCCTGAGAAAAAATATCAGGTTTCCCAAAAGACTAAAAAAACTGTTTCTATAGCATTCATTCAGGACGATGAAAAGGAAAAAGAAAAACCCAGCCAAAAAAAGCTCCTTTCTTTAGATGGGTCCTGCTAGGAACTGAAGGTACATTCTAATTAATATATGGAAGCTATCATCATTTATAAGACACTTCATTCACTGGTATTAGCTTGTATTTGTCATGAAACTCGTAAGTCACATGTTCTCAGAAGTAAAATGATTTTTAACTATTTGGGGTTTTACCTCTTTGATTTTGCTGTCTGCACAACATTTGAAAGGTCTCTAGTCGACATGCATCCAGGGGACATCCTCAGCAGATCCCGTTCCCTATGTTTGTAGGAAGCTATAACTGACTAATGCAGTAAAAGTAAAAAAGATGGAACTTAAGAAATTAAAGTGAAATAAAGCATGAAATCTCAAAAACTACTCAAAAGATGCAAGAAATATGCCTGTATGTGATCAGATGTTCAGCTAGGCACCCAGACCATCACTCCAAATGACCTTCTGCCTTTGATGGATCCCAAAGTTCCCTAATTATACACTCCCTCCTTGCAATTACTACAGACTCCCTGCTGACCTCCTAACCTCCCTGTGCCATTTGCACCCCTGAACCCAGGGCACGCTCTAAAATGTAACACAACAAAACTGCACACAGGGTGTCAGGAGCCATTAAGCAATGCTCCATGGGTACTCTGGGCTCTACATGCTCTTAGCACATGCAGGAAAAGGCTTAACGGAGGGTGAAATGGCAAAGCAGAGTGGAGAGGGACAACACATTCAACATGAGAATGCAAAAAATGAAAAGAAAGAACCTGAGGAGGAATGAAGATGTGAATTAATGTAGTCAGACCTTGGGGATAGATGGCTACAGGATAAAGTGAACACAAGTACCTGGCCACATGACTCAGGCACATATCTAGAGCAATTATTAAAATTCCATTGTTACACTTCCTTATAACTAATTACAAGTAATTTTTTCCTCCCTAGCTTTTACAGCATTGGTCAAATATAACCAATTCCCTTATATATGCAATACTGGTAGTTAAATTATACCTAATAGTTCAAAGCAGTATCTTAACTTCCATACACTAAGCTCAGGTTCAGCGATCCTACAAAGAGAAAGGATTTTACTTAAATACCTATAATATACTGAAAATACTTAAATAGTTATAATATACTTAAAATAAATATAATGCAAGGCTACCGAGTCACTAGCCTGATCTCTATCTCTGGCTCCCAATAAATAGTATCTTACCTCAGCAGCAGTCAGATTTTGAATGTTTGGATGTACTCATGAAGCATGGCACTGTTCATTCAAAGAGCAAAAACTAATGTATTTTTGTGGATACATTTGTTGAATGCACAAACCCATGAAATTTTAAAATCCTTGAGGAAAAAACCATCTTTTTACTAATTTTTGAGGGTAGTCCCATCTAGGAATAGGGAATGCATTCAGGGAGGACAAGATCTCACAGGACAATTCCACCTGGTCTGTAGTTCCCTCTTTTCACATTCATTCTCCTCTAAACTCCAAAGAAGTTTTCTCCTTTGGCAGCCTCACAAGACAGCAAACATTTGCTTTGAATCCATGAGGATGAGGAAGAACATTAGCTTGAAGGTTGAGTCAAGTTGGAGGATGCTCTGTGCAGTTACAGGCAACCAACTGGCCATGACCACTACACAATCCCTCCAAGGACTATCCAAAGTCCACACACCTCAACCCAAAGACAAGCTTGTATATATCCAAATATCCAAGAAGCACAAGAAAGAGATGTATCTCTCAAATAGCAATTATTTCTGATTCTCTCTTCTATCTTGTGTATCACCTTCTTTTAATACACATTAAACAGTCCTAAATACATCCAACCAATTGCATTCTATTTTGTGTAGGGTACTAGAAAGAGCCTAGTATATGAAGTTGGATTTTCTTGACGTCTCAGAAAAAAAGAGTCTTGAACATTTAGTATCCTGAGTGACTGCAAAAAAAATAAAAATTTAACAACCCCAACTTAAATTCAGAGTCATATTTACAATGCTTTTTTTCTACAGTGTGCATGTCACACAACTTGTCCTTGGCATTTCAATAAATAGTGATATGATAAAGTACAATGTACCAGTCTTCATGTTTCTAGGCACAAAACTATAAAATTTAGCAACACAGTACAATTGTTTCCAAAGACAACTGTGTGGTACTATTTCTCCACTATCACTTTGGAAGACATAATAAATGCTATCAAGAGATAAGTACAGAATGTATATCATTGCAGTTTTGATTTGTCTACTCAATTCTTAAGAAGTGTTTCACAGACACACTTCCACTGAAGTTAGGAAATTTCGCATTCCCTTTTAACAGAAATGTGTTTAGAGCACTGCTGCAGGCATAAAGATATGTTATTAGGATATAACATACGTTTACAGTACCATTGAAAGCTGAGGAAAAAAGCAATCAACACCAGCTCCCCTCTCACCAGCTCAACTACCATTACTCCTCACTCAATACCACAGTATCTGTTAAGCTACAAACACATAATTGATGCCAATTATTTTATCAAGTCAATAGCTCACTGTGTTTCTAAGGCATGCTTTTTCCTCTGTTATAAGGCTCTTGGTGTCAGGAGTTACATCAACCAACTATATTACTGGCCAGCAACAGATCCTTTGAAAGCTGCATTTGTACATCCCACCAGAGAAGTATCATCATGACTGCACACTGCTGATGCCAAGACATTTCATGGCCAACTACTTGGAATGATGCCCAAGAACTTCCAGCTTAGCTCTCCAGCAAAGGCATCTCACTACATTTCTTTCAGGGAGGAGAATATGAATGGAGACAGGAAGCAGTGACCAACATGCTTACCAAACCACCGCAGATGCTGAAGACAGCCATGTGCGTCTCCTGGGCATTGACATGCCCGCGGTAGAAACAGTGGCGCAAGTCAGGGGACGACTGCTTCTGCGGGGCCCCGACGTGCACCACCGTGTACTGAGCAGCAACGAAGCCTGCATCAGCACTCAGGTTGAGCTGGAAGACCTGCCCGTATGCTCTGAGCTGGTAATGTGTTCGGAAAGCAGCGGGCTCCAGCGGTGCCTCCAAACTCCTTTTCCTCCTGAAGTGATGCGTGTGTGGGAAAACTTCTCCAAACTCATTCACTCGGACAGGTGTGACGATTTCATAAGAGGAGAGCTGCTTCACCAAGGTCTCTGCAACAGAAGGCAGGAGGCTGAGCCCGACCCAGCAGCACAGCACCGACCCCTCGCTGGCATCCGCACTCGTGGCGCCAGCCCGGGGTCCGGTGACAGCCGGGGAGCGGGGGGCTGCCCCCGGAGCGAGCCCAGCTCCGCCACTCGTCGCCGCCGGGAGCGAGCACTCCCTCCCTCCTACCGCCCGCCGGGTAGCGGCGGCTGTCCCGGAGGACACGGCGTCCGCCGAAGGACCGGGACCCCCGGTACGGTCGCCGCCTTTGTTGCCGCTGGCTTACCTTGTCCGGGGTGGAAGCGGAGTCCCCACGACGCGGTGACGAGCAGGGCGAGGGGGCACAGCAGAGCCGCCAGCCGCCTCGCCCCCCGCATGGCTCGCTCCGCGGCGGCCGTGCCCGCAGCACCTCCGGGCCGCCGCTGCCTCAGCGCTCGCCGGCCGCCCGGGCCGGCCCCGCACCGCGCCGCTCCTCCATGCGCCCCGCGCCTTCCTCGTGTCCCGCCGCCCCCGCCCGCGGGAACCCGCCCCGCGCCCGCGCTCCCTCTCCTCCCGCCCCTCGCCTCCGCTCCCCCAGCTCGCTCTCCGCCGCCGGAGTGGGCGAGGGCGGCCCTTCCCTTCCAGTCCCTGCCTCCGCCTCCCGTGCCGCTGCCCCCGCGGCCGGCGGGGCGGCGCGGCGATGCCCGCTACCCTCAGGCGGGGCCGTCCCCGCAGTTCCCGGCGGTGCGGGCCCGGCCCGGCCCCGGGGCACGGGCCGCCCGAAGGCGGAGGGCAGCCCCGCCGCGCCTCTGGGCAGGTCCGGCCCGGGGGTCTCGGCCCTGTCCCGCCGCCCCCCGCCCCGGGTGCAGGCGGCGTTACCGCAGGCGAGAGGTGTCGGTCCAGTCTAAGTACGGGCTTCTGAGAAGCCTGGCAACGCTGCATTCCCCCTGGGAACGGCAGAGGCCGTGCCGTGAAAGCCAGCGGTGTCCGTGTCCCACAGATTCAGTATCACCCAGCCGCAGCCCCCCTGATCACCTGTCCCTGTACCGCAGCCCGGGGAGAAGCCGTTTCCCCACGCAGCTTCCAAGGAAGGAGATGTCCAGGCAGAGCCTGACACCACGGTGTCGACAGACAGGCTCCAGGTCCCCTGCTTTGGTTGTTCTGTCTGGGCAAAGTTCTCATAAAGTGGCTTGTCCCAGCATTCGGGGACCCCAGCATCCCTCGCATGGAGTGTGTGGATTATCTGTTTTACTTGAATATTTTTTTCCTGACATGGGGCAATGAGCTAATCCGGCCTTGAGTGAAGCTGTGTAGTACTGAAACAGCCTTCACTGCTAGAATAAAATCATACATCCCTTGTCAAGACTCCAGGATTGTAGAAGGAATACCTGGATTTTTCCAATATATATTGGCATCCAGCATAATCTTGACAATATTGAGTCTTGTTGGGAATACCATATTTCCTCTTGAATACTCAGAAGACGGAGGCTCTCTGATGGATATTGAACTGTTTTCTCTATGTGGGGTCACTGATAAGCATAGTTACATGAAAAGAAAATAAATACTTGAAATCTGAAGGGTTCTGCAAAGTGAATACAAAGAAAAAGCTTGTCTCCAAACACCATGAATATCAAAGAAATCCAACAAGAAGCAAGATTTTCAAACTATTTCTTTTAAACTGCATACACCATAGAAGACTGATCACGGCAGGTAAACAGAACTCCAGTTCTGAGAACTGGGTGTGAGAAGGGAGGTGGGAGAAGTCCATTCTGCCCACCACAGAAGCATGAAGGTACAAGATCCATTTCAGTACCCCGAGATGTTACAGAACAGACATGGGCGAAGTAGAGTAGAGCAAAAGTAGAGCAAAGTTTAAGGATGAGTACTTTGATTTTATTGGCACAAAATGTACAAAAAATAGTAAGACATTAAATTGAAAGGAGCAATTGTTGTACATGCCTCCGATTTCTCCAGCAAATTAGAATTTTCCTGTTTCTTGGGTCTTACTCATTGAAGCAGTTATCAGAGTGCAGCAAGTTAACTCTTTCTCAGTCAACTTAAATGGTTGCAAGTGATAAAGCAAATAGGCACTATTTCATTAAATGGAAGCAAATACCCACTGGTTCAGATGTGATTTTTCACTTGTTTATGATTTGTAAAATTATGTTTTGTAAAAATAAAAGGGATAAAATTACTTTTCTTAAATCTCATTTTAATGTGTTTAGATTTCCCTGTATTCTTTGTGGGAATGGAACCCCAGCTTTTCTATGGTAAACATTGAAAGTCTATCTCTCCCTGAAGATGGACTGTTTAGAACAATTTAAAATTGATAACCTTCATTTAGATTGACACATGTTCCAGTAGCTCCTGTCAGTGCCATGGACAAAAAGCAGTGCCAGCTAAGGCACTTTTTTCCAAATTTTCAACTGAAACAAAAAGTAAATTTCCAAATATGAATCTGGCAATTCAGGTGATGTGAGGCCTGACAGTTGAACATCTTTTTATACTTATCAGCGATTATTCCTTTAAAAATTGCTGAAGCTCTACAGGTATTAGGCACAAGTCTGATTTTCAAATGCAAGATGGGTTAGCTGTGCAGGAGCAAAGGACAATAGGGCAGGGGATTAAGGCAGTTCTAGTAGTGTTCATGTTACCTGAATGGCTTTGGGCAATAAGCTGCGGTCATTCATTTGACCTCTACCCATATGGCATCAGTTTGAATCTTGTGAGGAGCAAATATAACCCTGTATATCAAAGCAAGTGGTGTGTTTCTATTACAAAGAAATATAAGTACATCCGATAATTCTGAAATCATGGAAATAGTATGTTTGCTACAACTGTTAGAAGTAGAAGGGTAGAGACTGGCATAATCATGAAATGAAGTTGAAGAATTATGGAAGTTATTCAAAGAAGGAGAACTACAAAAAAACCATAATGAAATATTAAAAACTAAATTTAAAAGAAAAAGGGGATAACTATGGAAACAAGGATACAGAGAAGTTGTGCAGTCTCTATCCTTGTATATACTTAAAACTCATCTGGTCAGGAAGTCCTGAGCAACCTGAATTAACTTTTAAATTAATCCCGCTTTGAGAAGAAGGTTGGCCTTGGTGACCTCTAGAGCCTTCTTCCAACCCAGGTTATTCTATGATTCTATGAAACAAAAATTAAAAAAAAAAATTATTGGAGAAAGCTGAAAAGACTGCAGTGGAGAGGAAAAAGGAGAGGAAAAAAGAAAGGAAAATACCTATTAAAAGAACAGAGATGTAGGGGGAAAATCAGAAGAAAATAGTCTTCAGCTACTATGAAACAGAAGAAGAAAGGAGACACAGCTGAGACTATTTAGTAAGATTTTTCAAGACTAGAAGTTCTATACTGGTAAAGCTCCAGCTAAGGCAGTGGAATGATGCTGATTTGCATCTGCAAATGTAGTCCTCAGAGATGTAATGCATTCTGACTTCATTAAATCTGTATTGACATTAAAGCTTGCTATTAAATAGTTGTCTTTAAAATGCCTCCTACATTAGTGAAATAAATCCATCTCTTTACAGTATTTATTCTTTTCACTTATCTCTTTCAGTTGATATGTTTGGAGTGAAGTATGTTGTACCAGTTACTTTTGCAAGTCAATGAAATAGAAGGATAGTTTGTGCTTGCTGAAATCACTTCTCCTCCTTGGGGTTTCTCTGGGGTTTCATGGACAAAATGAATTGCAATTAGGTCATGATTACTCAAATATTTGTATTGTGCACTTAAAATGCTGCAGTAGATAAGGCTTATCAGATTAAACAGTAGAATTCGTAAAAATGCATACTGAAAAATTAATAAACTTCTTCCTTAGAACCACAGATTAACTATTAAATCCTTTCACCTGTTTTTGGCTCCATTTTTTAATTTAAGTGGTCTTTTGTGAGTGATTTTAGCTGAAGATCACAAAGTGGAAAATAAACGTCAGTCATTCAGAAAAGGCAAGGAAAACATTTCACAAGTGAAATTGTTAAAAAAATAAGACTTATGAACAAATTTTATCTTAAAGAGGAGACTGTATGAGATATATATTTTACTTCTTTATTATTTTATCTTGGCATTTTTCTGTCTTGTGGAATACAATTTATATCAGACCTTCAGGCTCTTATTTACTGTTCTTGACCGGACATTAAGCACATTGCACAAATCTGGCCAGTTTGCAATCACTTCTTTTATTCATCCACTTATCTCCCCCTTACCTTGAGATATTAATACCATATATACATATGCACACACCATGGAGCCACCTGACCTCCTGCAGAGGGACAAGAGTGGCCCAAGTCCCTGTTGCCCAAGGCTACTGTTGTCAGGAGCCTGCTGGCCTTGTCCAGACTCTGAGCCTTGCAGTGAGCCCAGCTTGCTGCCTGTCCCATAGCCCTTCCCATCTGTGCCCCACCACACCTCCTGCGCAATTCCATCTGCAGTGAGCCACGGGAGCTGGGCTTGTTGGAGGGAGGTGTCTGGCTGGGTCAGTCAGTATTCTCTGTGTGTGTTGGCAGCTAGGCTGTTCCTGCATGACCAGACATGTGATTTTGATACATACTGCAGTGAAAAAAATGTATGTATACATTTCTGCTACTATCTGCATTCACATTATAGTATTTTTTCAACAGTGGTGACTTACTCTAAGGTTAATGTCTGTAAATTTACTTTTTCCTTAATCAAAAGTAAAAGAAGGTTCATAACTTTTATATTATTTAATGTGAAGTTGTCAAGTTTTATCCTGTGAAATATAGGTTTACATAGACAGTGAAAGGTACTGAATACCCTACTATTGCTTCACTTAGTTTTATTGAGATCCTGAATAATTTTTATATTAATCATTTTGTAGCATTGTCTATTAAATACTAACTTACCGGCAAAAAGTATTATTTGCAAACAGATATATACCAGGCAGTCATAACTACTAATTTAAGAAGCTTGATTAATATTATTTCTTTGTGTTACAATTGAAGATGAGCTCTTTGATATCATCACAAATTCCCTGAGAGGGAAAGCCAAGAGTCATACGCCAGCTACAAAGTATTACACCCAGCACTGTGCAAGCAAGTACCAAGGATGTACTGGGGTTCAGCGATCCAGGACAGAAGCAGACTGATTTGTGCCTTCTGCTAACCCTGGGTCAGGAATCCTGCTCCAACTTCACCCTGTCGTTGTGCTCCATCAGTACAGAGCACCTGTTGTATTGGATGCGAGTATTTCAAGGAGATGCAAATGTAGGTCACCACAAACTCCTGGAGAACATGCACAAGAAATAAAAACCCTCTAACCTGACATGTTCAAGTGATTCCATACCAGTAATTCAGAAAAGTAAGAATTACTGTAGTGTGAAGACAAAGGCATGTGCACTCACTGCCAAAAAGCATGCTGC